GAAATGTATGGGCATAATGCAGGACAACCTATGTCATCCCTATATACTAAGTACTACCGTACTTAACTAAGTAACCAACACCCTTATAGAGTCCAAGTGGAGTTTAATTAAAGGGAATGTGGCAGTATGAATGTTACTAAAAACAACAGGGACACGTGAAAGAATGCTTGCTTTTAGTAACCTTTAGCCTGTAGCACACCAGACAGCAATAATATTATAGGGATTGTGTGATCTGGTTGGGGGTGTCAGCGTACTCAAATCTGTTCATTCATTAACCATGCTTCATGTATCCCATCCCTATCTTGTCTCCCATCCCTATCTTGTCTCCATTTCTTTTGATACCATCCCTATATGACTCTTTTTTTAAATCCGCAGGATTTTTTATTTACTTGTAAAAAAAGCCTTCCTTGTGGTTTCATGCAGGTCCAATATAAAGCTGCTAACTGAAAGGAAAGAGAGGGGTTTTCTATCTCGCTGTAGGCATCTTCTTGTTAACCTTTTTATGAGGTGGCATCCATACATCCATCACCTTTCATTCTAGAGTCAATTCAATTTTCGATTTGGGGCAAAGTCAGATAGCTAATTTAAGTTATTGTGGCCTATATTCTTATTGCATGCATGTGTATGATCAAAAGTGGATTGGCAAGAGGCAGTTAAAAGGATCTATTATACCTTGGCCACCCCTATAATTAGGCTACAGGCAGCGGTCACAAGGACTATAATTACGTAGCTAGATTCTCCCTACACAAACAAGCAAGACCCTCCTCACACAACCTGCTATATTCTCCCCACAAAAAACAGCTCAAAACAAACCAGCACTACTTACAAAATGAAAAGCACTAAAGTGCAAACCCTCGGCACACCATGCATGCACGGTATCGCTAATTGATGGGCTGGGCTCTGGGTATGTGGTCTCCATGCTAGTAACTCATGGAGTGTCTGAACACGGGCTAGCCACACTAGTAGATAGCATGCGGGAGTCGATACACACCATCCGGTGTGCCTCCAAGGTACACAGAGCGAGCAGATCAGGTCGCGGTAAGCCCAGTGAATTATGCATATTGGCTTTTTTGCTTGTTTTCACGCCATATCTCTTGAACGTAGTCGTTTCAGGAAAAACGCCACTTTCTTTTCAGGCTCTCGTGGTTCTGAAACCGTTGGTATCGCTCATTGCCCACCTAGTAGCCTGTAGTGCCTGAATAGCTGGTGACAAACAGACACACACACACAGACCAAGTACTGTAACCCTCTGCATGCGCACAGAGGGTTAACTAGTTTACACTGCCTGAAATCAGCCCATACAAGTAAGTACCAGCAAGAAATAAAGAGTAGCATAAGTTCCGCAACAAACAACCTGACTTCGCAAGACCATGCACGCATATTTAGACAACACCCTGGCCTGCTGCACATGCTGACTGCTGAGTTAGCAGCAATTGGTGAAATACTGCGTATGAGCTTCATGACCTACCGTAGTGACATGCGACAAGAAAGAAACTATCACTTGGTGGCCGTGTACCCTTCCGTCGAATTTGGAGACGTTTAGTGAATCAGTATTTTAACTGGTTCCCAAGAGGGGTTTCTAAGTATATACGTAGCTAAAAAAATTAAGAATAATGAGACACGAACTTGCATAATATGATGAATTCTCATGTGGAGAACTGAGAGCACGTAATGACAATTATGGGCCGGTTTCCTATTCGGTCAAGGCTTGGCAAGTCATATTTAGGGATTTTGGACACAATGTGAGATTTTACCCGTGTTATCTCTACATAGAGCGGCTACCAAAACTCTACATGAGCATCTACCAAAGCTCTGATAAACAGGAAATTGTCTCCAGGCTCTTCCTAATCCTATTCATAATTATTTTACCATGTAAAATGTTTGTACATAAACGTTTGCTCTCCACACATTCCTTGAAAGGTGTAACAAAAATATATTTGGGTATCCTCCATTGGGAGGTGTCCTATATTATATACTCACAACCATATCTGCTTGTTAGGCAGGTGGTCAATGCACAACACAGAGAATGAAAAGCCTCAGTTTCTTCCTGCATGTTGTCCACAGTTTTTCTTGGTATCTCTAACAAGCACTACCTTTCTCATAAAAGAACACTGCACCATTGTGTGCAACAACTGCAAGTAATGCTAATGCTATTCATTTTACCTGGTACACAATAATGTTTACAGAAATGCTAATACTATTCAATTTACCTTGTAAAATGAGTGTGTGTACATACATCTACCCCCTTGGGAGATAGCAAATTCACACACAGTAAACTCACCCCAGGTTTACTGGAGGACCCAGTCTTTGGAGCACCATCTCCACAACCTTCACTACAAGCACCTCCACTATCTTCACCATCTCCACCACCTCCCCTACCGCCAATTTCACCATCTTCAATACCTCCACTATCTCCACCGCCACCACTACCACAACTTCCACCATCTTTACGACTTCCCGTATCACCACCTTCATTGTCTTCACCACCTCCAGTATCACCACCTCCTCTGTCTTCACCACCTCCGGTATCACCACCTCCTCTGTCTTCACCACCTCCTGTATCACCACCTCCTCTGTCTTCACCACCTCCGTATCACCCCTCCTCTGTCTTCACCACCTCCGGTATCACCACCTCCTCTGTCTTCACCACCTCCTGTATCACCACCTCCTCTGTCTTCACCACCTCCGGTATCACCACCTCCTCTGTCTTCACCACCTCCTGTATCACCACCTCCTCTGTCTTCACCACCTCCTGTATCACCACCTCCTCTGTCTTCACCACCTCCGGTATCACCACCTCCTCTGTCTTCACCACCTCCGGTATCACCACCTCCTCTGTCTTCACCACCTCCTGTATATACACCTCCTCTGTCTTCACCACCTCCGGTATCACCACCTCCTCTGTCTTCACCACCTCCTGTATCACCACCTCCTCTGTCTTCACCACCTCCAGTATCACCACCTCCACTGTCTTCACCACCTCCCCTATCACCACCTCCATTGTCTTCACCATCTTTATCACCTCCACTACCTCTATGACCACCACCTCCACTATCTTTGTCATCTTCACCACCTTTTCCACCACATTTACCATCGTCTTCATAATTTCCACCTCCTTCACTTCCACCACCTCCACTTCCACTAGCTCCAGTATCTTGGCCACCTTTACTAGCATCACTACCTCTGCTATCTACATCACCTCTACCATAACCACTGTTATCAACATCCATAGGTGTATGAGGCTGGGCAACTGAGGTAGGTGGTGCATGTTTATCTTGTTCATTTTTGGAGTGGGATTCTTGTTTTGTATCTGTTGCCTTACTCTCTTTGTTGTCATTGGAGGTGGTTTTATTGTGATCCATTTCTTCACTGTCATTATCACACTTGGCATTCTCAAAATGATCACCTCCACCACCAGTCTCTTGTACCGGAGTTTTAAACGTCCCCTTGGGAGAAACATTAGGAGTAGGCTGCCGATGGAGGTCAGTAACAACGCCGAGCTGCTCGCTTCCTTCGGTTGGCGGTTGAGCGAGCCGACCCGTCTCCGAAACCGTCGAATGCCCGCTTTTTACCTGAGACGTTGCTGCCCGTGTATCACCCTGCGGCGGGGCCCAAACTGCCTTATTACAAATCGGGCAGGTCCGCACTACGGTGGGCATCTTACATGGTAGCCAATCGCCACAGTGAGGGCACTTCAATCCCCCGCCATCGCCTGACATATCAGCCATTTGGCGTCCGGGAGCGAGCTGGTCCCACGGCACGATTACGGACTACCGTCGACCGTTATACCGGCCGTATATACGCCGTCAAACTGCGCATGCGTTTGGGTCACGCGCTTCTTTTTTTTTTATGGACACAGACGCAACAAAAACAAAGAAAAAAGAAAAAGTAAAGTATAATTATAACAGGACAAGCAACAAAAAAACATGTGAGAGAAAAATAGGACAAAAAACAAACAAAAGTAACACAAACAAGGAGGTCAAATTACACCATCTAAAGACGGAGCGAGTTTTGGACAACGGTGATCCTAAACGGAGTGCATTTTTCCCCTCAGCAGAGTATGATTGCGAGCCTTTGTCTTAGATTAGGTGACGTGTCGATTCAACCGGGTAGATCCCCAAACGCTGGCCCAAAAGACGGCCTAGGCTGGAGATTGTATCAGCAGCCATGTCACTCACGCCACCTAAGAACTCTATGGCGAGGGGGATGCCAACGGCAGCACCGTCGGAACTTCCTTTTATCGGAAATAATTTCAACATTTTTACACGCGCGCGCGCGCTGCCTAGTCGATGCGCGATCTAGAGCTCCGTCCATTCGGCGGCATTCGCTGCACTGACCGAGGCGCCGCTGTATATTATACCCTTTAAAATGAGGTGCGTGATATCACAGCCTGCCTACTCTCAGAAGTATGTCACGGGGTGTCCATTTACTCAATTGAACCGCACCTTCAGCCACTTAACGATGAGAAGTCGTGCCGCACAACACAGCTGTCACCGAGGACGGAGCCCGACTCGATGTTGCCATGTACGGGTTTTGGGGGGGGCCGTTTCGAGAAGGCATTTGTTGACGTCAGGGTGTGCAACCCATGCGCCCAATCGAATTGCAGGAGTCCTCTTACATCCGTGTACAGCAAGAAAAGAAGCGAAAAGTATGAGGAGAGGGTACGAGAAGTGGAACGTGCTACTTTCACTCCACTTGTTATGTCAACAACTCTGGTAACAGGGCGCGGGTGTTGTGATGGGTGTCACGCCGGATATTATTTACGGCCGGTCCGGTTTGGCCGGGACCACTTTTGAGTGATTGATCGCGGCCCCATGCGCATTGCCGCCTGTGATGATGAAGATGTGTGGGTGCTCGTGGCGCGCGGGCCGGAAGCCTGCAGGTCTCTGTCGGATCGGGAAAGATAATGGCCAGCGGTGCCACCTTCACCACTGAATAACAGTGTCTTAAGTAAAAGTTCCGTTTCTCTTTATCAGTTTTGTAACATTTCCCCTAAGATAAGGCAGTCTGCATCTATGAGAATCTATACGCTATTATAAAAAAATCAGCAAATTGCCTTTATATGTGTGAAATTTATTCAATAACGAGCAATAATGAGTGTGACATAAAATTAATCTCTTAATATCAATGAATCTTTGCATATTCTTTTTTCAGGTGTGTAATTGTCTGCGTTCGCAAATGACCAGATGGTGTTAGTTGAAAGTCAGAGAGTAAAATAGAGGAGAGTGGAATCCAATCACTCCATTCTGTCATTTTTCGGTGACTGGATGGATCTCGTATCATCCAGGTCTTCCATGCAGAACTATACGTGCCCTTCATCCAAGTCACCTTCACTTCTGATTCGGATATCTCCATACATTTTGCAATAGCAGGCTCATTGGCATAGTTGTCACAATAAACGGCTATGAGATGGGCAATCTCGATCTTTGATGTGTCTTCCACACTAGTTATAGAGCTGCTTCCATGTTTTGAACCAGTGTACACCTGATACAAGAGCATACATCGTGGTAAAGGCAATTCAAGCTGCACTCAATTAAACTAGGGAAAACCTTCAGGTATAAACAAAATACTTTGAAAGTCCACAATTTTGTACTTCCCTTGAGTATTATCATGTAATTTTTCACATGCAGTCATTACTCTAAGTTCACTATTACTATGTTAGAGATGTGTCTTACATGTGTGGATCACAAATTTGTCGGTTACCACAAGATTCACAAATTTGTTACATGGTAGCTACACCTCAAGTAGCTAAGGATCACAAATTTGTCACCTAATCTGACAAGGTAATCCCAAATTGTTTACCCATAGGATCTCTATATTTAATATTGTTTGTTTTGTTATATAGATGATGGTATAGTCTATCACTGATGACAGAAGTCAAAGGGAAGTTCACAAATTTGGCTACGTAGATCTGTTTATGGTGTACACTCAGCTGTGGGTGGTCACAAATTTGTCGCACAATAATTGAAGCTGAAGACATAACATTATTATTTGTGTGTAACTATCTATGTGGTAGTCTAAAAGGAAGATTCAAAGCAAACACACACTAAGAACACTTACGCAACACTGCTGATTTTCTCGTGTCAGCAGGGATGGAACAGCATGAGCTGTTTCATCAGGTTCATCTGCAATGTCCACCAGTGTGCAGAGATATTGAAGGGGTGATATATCAGCATCTGTTTCCTGTGGGGTTGGGGTAGTATTTGTAGAAGAGACTCAAGAAACTCGGACCACTCTATGTTGGACTCATTTTCATCCACTTTCCCCATTTCGGCATATCTTCCCTTAGTCGTTGTATGTCAGCTCTACTGAAATCTGCCCATTCCGGTGTGATAGTGAGGCTCTACGCGATTCGGTAGTTGACACCATGCGTGTAAATCATTATGATTGTGCTCCCAATCTGCTGTAACTGCTCACCTTCAACAAACTCAGCTATTCTGACCATTTATCATGGCTCCAGTTCCTGTAGCACATCACTGATTCACCTTCACTATTAAGCTTAAAACGAAAGCAGTGGGGCTGAGAGTGGCCATGGATTGGTTGAATGCATGGTGAAAGCCAGGAGCGTACATTGTAGATGTTTTGGAGAAGAAATACCTTCGGGGTTGGTATGTAGCTATCTGTTGTGACTTTTAAGAGATCTGTATCAAGCAAAGCAACAAAGTTTTATGTGAACACTCACATGCTGTGTGAGAGTGTGCTATGGCATTTTTTGAGGTTTGCCTACGTCTTGTGTTGTAGATTTAAACCCCTATCTGCTGGTAGCGTGCTCATCTAGAGTGAAGAGTGTCATAGGTTCGAGGCTTATAGGGGTATAGTTGTGTTTTTGCTTTGACACCTGCCTGAAGATCACGGTAACTGTTAGGCACACGTAACTACGGACACATAAATGTGTACAGAGCCTCCATATATAAGTCCTTAAGAATTTATATGGGGGTTATAATATAGGCGCTATAGTTAATACATCAATTTATGCTTATTTATGCAGATCCCCATGACGTCCAAAGGGTTAAATGTAGCAATGCATTGTTTTTTTACTTACTTTGAAGTGTTTCTGCCCCAACTCTATTCAGCTGTGTTGACACCTTTGAGAAAAATTGATCTACATCTTCATGTGTGTGTCCAACAGGTAGAAAATTCACTCGTATCTATGTATGAGAACAAATGAAATAGCAACGCACACTCTGGTTTCAAAAACTAACCTTAGCAAATACCTTTAATTGAACAAGTAAGGCACAAAACGCAAAAGAGAAACGATTCTTGGTTTCTCTGTAACAATTATCCAGTTGGATGTACAGAACCTTGGGTAAACTACCCACAACACTCGCTAACTCCTGAAGAACTTTCAGTAGGATAGTGATTGTCAGGTTGCAGTCATGTGGCCACTGCAGTATATCATAATACCCAAATGCAATTTTCCCTTTTGAGGCTTTGGTATGGAGGAGAGCACCAGTGAGATGTGTTCTTAGTTTCCAAAGGCTTTGGGTTGATTTTGTAGATTGCAAATGGGGTAGGTTTGTTTTGCTTTGATCCATGCCATCAACCATAATGGTAGCAAATTTCCGTGGCTCACTACGGCACTTCTCTCGGTGGTGGTAATATTTGCTTCTTTCTCTTCTGTATATGAATCAGATCAGGAGACAAACTTAATGCTGTGTATAACCACAACTAAACTTACTCAACTATATCCAGATGCTACTTGTATTCAGCTCTAAGAAGAGATGTTGCTTCCTTATCTCCAGTTACTTTCAGTCTTTCCTGTGAAAATCTCACACGTCGCATTTGGAGAACCAACTTTGCTGCAGGGCAATCAGTACCATAATTGATGCTTTAGTGTAATGTGATTACATCCTAACATAAGAACTGTAAAATTACGCATCTCAACAATGAGGTAGCAAGACAAAGCAAACAAGTCAAAGACACCCTGGACAGCTCTCAAACCCAAAGTCTATAGGCGAGCACTCTATGAGCTACCAAGGCAACTCAGCTGGTGTAGGGGTTCAAATCAACAACACAAGACAAAGACAAACCTCAAACCATTGTGCTATGTACGCTTTTATTGCTGTGAAAGTTTCTACATACTAGACTGATGCATATACATAAACACATAGACACATACACATGAGCCACAAGCACATATGTGTAGGCACTACGTATACTCACGTAAGCACACACAGACAGCATAGCTACATGCCACATGCACTAATAGAGGCATAGCTACCCACCACACATACAGTGAAAAAAACTCTCCCTGCCAACGCTTACACTCTTTATTACCAACTACATAAGCATGATGCAAACACTTACA